AGTATGCGGCGGCCACGGTGGTAGCCTCTTGGACGAACATCACGGGGGACATATAGGCGAAACACATGTGTGGAGATTACAGGGGGTTGAACAAAGTGACCATGCCGGATCGCTATCCTATGCAGTCGCACGGAAGAGATATTCGATAAACTGCAGAAGCCTCGGTTTTCTCTACACTAGACCTCAGGCAGGGGTTTAACCAAATTCAGATAAAGGAGGAGGATCGCAAGAAAACGGCGTCCCATAGACCGGACGGCCAGTACGAGTGGATAGTGATGCCGTTTGGCATGCGGAACGCTCCGGCCGTGTTCCAACACACCATGGACAGCGTCATGCAAGGGGTGCCCGCAGTGGCGTGTTACATAGACGACGTGATTATCTTCAGTGCAATGCCGGAGCAGCATATGAAGGATGTGCAGGCAACATTGAAAGTCATCAAGGGGGAGGGGCTGATATGCCACCCGAAGAAACGCAAATTCGGGAGCCGAATAGTGCAACACCAGGGTTTTGAGATCAGAGATGGGCACTTGGGAGTGCAGGAGGCGAAGGTGGAGGTACTGTACCGAGTGCCGACACCACAAACCGTTCCTCCCCGCAGGTAGTACTGGGTTTCCTGGGGTACTACCGGTGGTTCGTGCCAAACTTCAGCAAGACCACATCCGTGCTGAACAGGCTGCTAAGGGAGGAGCAACAGTGGCAATGGGGGAAGGAGGAGCAGAAGGCACTGGATACTCTGAAGCAGGCGGTGAAGACAGCCACGGTGCTCACCTTACCCAGTAAGGAGGACCCATTCACACTATACACTGATTGGAGCAGTTCGGGAACGGGAGCGATCCTGTGCCAAGAGCAAAGGGGAGAGGAAAGAGTTGTCAAAATGTTATAATGTTTAGGTTGTGTAGGCTGTAGTGGGGTAGCCCATAAGGGGTACAACCCAATTAGGGTTAGTACTTGTACTCACTTTGATCTCAATGCATTCATTCCCGTTCAGTATTTTGACAAGGTTTCAGAGCAGGTCCTGTCCCAGGACGTTTGGTTTTTAGGGCCCACGGTATAGTTCGCTGCCCGTAGCGCGTTACCCTACCCGTAGCGCCCTACCCTGCCCGTCGCGCTGCCCCACCAGTTGCGCTGCCCTGTCTGCCCGTCACGCCGCCCTGCTGGTCGCGCGCCGCCCTCCCCTGCCCGTCGCGCTGCCCTGCTAGCGCCTCGCCGCCCTGCCCTGCCCGTGCGCCGCCCTGTAGACCGCCGCGCCGCCCTACCTTGCCCGTCGCGCCGCCCTGCTGGCCGCGCGCTGCCCTGCTTGCCCGTCGCGCCACCCTGCTGGTCGCGCGCCACCCTCCCCTGCCCGTTGCGCTGCCCTGCTAGCGCCGCGCCGCCCTGCCCTGCTAGCCTGCGCGCCGCCCTGCCCTGCCTGCGCGCCGCCCTGCACTGCCCGCGCGCTGCCCTAGTGGCCGCCGCACTACCCTGCCCTGCCCGCGCGCTGCCCTACTGGCCGCCGCACCGCCCTGCTCTGCCCTGCCCGCGCACCGCCCTGCCCTACCTGCGCGCCGCCCTGCTGGCTGCCGCCCTGCCCTGCCCTGCCCGCATGCCACCCTGATGGCCGCCGTCCTGCCCTGCCATGCCTGCGCGCCGCTCTGCTGGCCGCCGCCCAACCCTGTCGATTGCGCTTCCCTGCCCTAGCCGTGCGCCGCCCCGCCCTGCCTTTCACGCTTCCCTAGCGCTTGTGCGCCGCCCTGCCTGTTGCGCCGTCCTTGCTTGCGTGTTGCTCTGCTGCTCGCGCGCCACTCTGCTCTGCCCGCTATGGCTACTCTCAGCGTTTTCACATTCGATCCTGAGGGCCGTCCGATCACAGCTGTTCCTACAAAGCGATTCTAGAGACGGCGTTTCGTTGTTTGACCACAGGTCTGGAGCCTCTCTCGCCCCTCCCGACACAGCTGACTGTGCGACTCGCTCACAGTGGCTTACCCGTGACGCTGCTGTCAGAACCATATTGTAGGCTGTAGTGGGGTTGACAATATGGGGTACAACTTTTTTAGGTTTTCATATTTGTACCCACCTGCTTCCTAGTTGATCTCATTCCTCGTACTTTTCTCACATGGTATAGAGCGGGTTCCCTAGTGGGACCGTTTTTTTTTTAGGGCCCACCACTTGAAAAAAAAAAAAAAAAAAAAAAAAAAATCCTGCCCTGCCCGAAGCGCGCATCGGGCTCTGCCCTACGGCTGCCCTTAGCGGCCCGCCCTGCCGTCGCGGCCCTTAGCGGCCCGCCCTGCTGTCGCGGCCCTTAGCGGCCCACCCAGCCGCCCTTTGCGGCCCTTAGCGGCCCGCCCGCCCCTTCATCGCGGCCCTGCGCGGCCAGCCCGCCCCTTCGTCGCAGCCCTGCGCGGCCCGCCCGCCCCTTCGTTGCAGCCCTGCAAGGCCCGCCCGCCCCTTCGTCGCGGCTATGCGCGGCCCGCCCGCCCCTTCGTCGCGGCCCTGCGCGGCCCGCCCGCCCGTCGTCGCGGCCCTCCATGGCCCTCCCGCCTCGTCGTAGCGGCCCCTTACCCTGCAGCAGCCGCCGAGGCCTTGTGGCCTGCAGCAGCCGTCACCCCTACTGCCGCCGTAGCGGCTCTGCTGCCGCCGTCGAGCCTGCAGCCGTCGGTGCGACCGCCGCTGTCGTCGCTGCTGCGGCCCCGCTGTCGCGGCCCTGCCCTGCTGCCCTGACGCGGCCCTGACCTGCCGCCGAGCCGCGGCCCTGCCCTGCCGCCTTGTTGCGGCCCCTACCCTGCCGGCGCGCCACGGCCCTGCCCCACCAGTCGCGGCCTCTACCCTACCCTACCGCCGCTGGTAAGCGCACCGCCGCACCCACACCGCCATGCCGAGTCGCTCTGCTCCTGCTGCTACTGCTGCTGCTAGGCTACTGCTGCTGCTGCTGCAGTCATGGCTAGCCCTTATGTCCTTACCTTCGATGCTGAGGGTCGAGCGGTCAATTTTGAGGTCTGGGTCGTTGATCTGCAGCTCTTTCTGCAGTGCGATAGCAAGGATGGAGTCTCTCTTTTTTATCTCACGTCTGGCGCCTCTGCTGCACCTGCTGCCGATGCTGACAGTACTGTTCGCTCGTAGTGGACCACGCGCAATGCTGCTGCCCGTCTTGCTATTCGCAGTCACCTGCCGTCTGCTGAGCGCGTGCACTTTAGCCAGTACAAGACCGCTAGGACTCTGTACGACGCTGTTGTTGCGCGCTACTCCTCCCCTGCCACTGCTGCCCTTAGTCGTCTCATGCTGCCATACCTGTTCCCTGACCTAGCTGCTTTTGCCACAGTCGTTGACCTCATTACGCACCTCCGCACTAGTGACACCCGCTACCGCGCTGCGCTTCCTGCCGAGTTCTGCGCCGCGAACCCCCCCCCTATGTACATCACTCTCTACTACCTCGTCACCCTGCTCTCTGACTCCCTTCGCTCGGTCAGGGACCACTTCCTCTCCCTTTGCCCCACCACGCTCACCGTTGACCTCCTCGAGGAGCGCCTCCTTGCAGTAGAGAAGAGCATATTCGCTGTAGGAGCCTCTCGTGGTGACCCTCGTGCCCCTTTCTTTGAGGGGTGCTTCCCCGTCCCTCTTTTGCCCTCTGTTGCCTCTGCTGCTACTGTCGACCTCGTTGGCACCGAGTCGGTCGGCGCTGCGTCTGCTCCTAGTGGGAGGCGCCGCGGCGGCAGGAGCAAGGGGGGCAAGGGTGCTGGAGGGGATGGCGGGGGCGGCGGTGGTGGCGGTGGAGGCGGCGGAGGGGGTGGGGGTGGAGGTGGGGGTGGTGGCGGGAGTGGGGGCTTCGGTAGCGGTGGTGGAGGTGGAGGCGGCGGAGGCAGCGGCAGTGGGGGTGGCGGCGGCGGTGGCGGTGGGGGTGGCGGCGGCGGTGGTGCTGGTCGCGGTGGCACTGTGCAGCGGGGAGGCTTTGGCGGTGGTCAGCGCCAGCAGCAGCAGTGCCCTCGTGAGACTCTGTCGCCCCAGCAGCTTCGTGAGTGGTACGCTGAGCGTGGGAGGTCTGGGGGTGCTGGTCCCTGCGCTTACGTTATCCGCACCAGCGACCGCAGTGGGGAGACGTGCGGAGGGCCGCACGCCACGCAGCGCTGTTTTGGCCGCCTGACTGACGCCTGGCGTACACAGTTTCCTGACTCCACTGAGATCCCACGCTGGGGTGATGTGTTTAAAGCCCGCGGCCCAAATTGCAAGCCGCGCGGTTCAAGTTTTTAAAACTTGTTCCCTTGACTTTCGGGCTACCAAGTTTCTGGGAGACAGAGGTCCGCGCGACACAACTCAGGCTGTGAGCCAATGCGAGTTGACTACCCCTAAGTTGTGAACCAATGAGATTGAACACAATTGTCTTCAGTCGCAAACCAGGGTTTGGCAGAACCAGCACACACCCAAAAACTTCGGCCATTATCTCCGATACTCAGATTTTTCCTGAGCGCGTTCTCAGGTGTAATCACCAACAGAAACACAGTTTCTCGATATAGTGTGAAGCTATTCTGGCTCATGTTTGTATACAGTCACTAAAAAAAAAGGAATTCTAGCACTTTCAAAAAAAAATATATAATGCCCGTAGCGAACCTATATGATTTCCGGGAAGGATCGACCCTAAATACCGAAAGCCTCCCAATATTTTGGAAAACATATTGCAACCCACTTGACAAAAAAAATAATACCCACCTCGGAAAGGGATGTGACTCGGGAGGCATCAACCCTAAAAACAATGCCCATTCCACAGTGCCGGTAGTCCAAGCCCATGGACCACAGTGCCGGTAGTCCAAGCCCATGGACCACAGTGCCGGTAGTCCAAGCCCATGGACCACAGTGCCGGTAGTCCAAGCCCATGGACCACAGTGCCGGTAGTCCAAGCCCATGGACCACAGTGCCGGTAGTCCAAGCCCATGGACCACAGTGCCGGTAGTCCAAGCCCATGGACCACAGTGCCTTTCGGGCCAGAATGTCGAGAGCGAACCCGGGCGTGCCCTGGGGGAACACAGCACAATCTAGTGCTATGTGGCCCTGGGGGGACAGGAAAAAAAAGGGAGGGGGAGGGCAGGGGAGGAGAGGGGTTGTGGCTGCCAAACTGCTGCTCTGATTCTGTGCTGCTCTGCTGGTCTGTGCTCTGCGGCCCCTCGAGCACGTTCAGCCCAGCGCCCACGCCATGCCCCGTGCCGTGAAGGCAGTCCAGCCCCATGCCCCACAATGCCTTGCGGGCCAGAATGTCCAGGGAAAATCCGGGCGTGCCCTGGGGGAACACCGCACAATCTAGCGCGATATGGCCCTGGGGGGAGAGACGGGAATGGGGGGAGGGGGGCGGCAGGAAAGGAGAGGGGTTTACGGCTACTACTCTGTTGCTCTGTTCTCTTTGGCCCCTCGTGCACATTCAGCCCAGCGCCCACGCCGTGCCCCGTGCCGATAGTCCAGCCCCATGCCCCACAGGGGGCTTCGGGCTAGGATTTCGAGCGTATTTTGAGGCGCCTCAAAATACACCTCACAGGTGGCTTCGGGCGAGAATGTCTAACGCGAACCCGGGCGTGCCCTGGGGGAACACAGCTCGATCTAGCGCTATGTGGCCCTGGCGGGAGAGCAGAGGGGGAGAAGGAGGGGAGGGGAGGAGGGGGCCTTGCTAACCAGCCATGCCATAACAGTAGCCCAGCCCCATGCCCCGCAGTGGCCTCCGGACTAGAATGTCCAGGGCAAAACCGGGCAGCACTCATTCTCACCTGACAGCACTCCTTACCACCCGACAGCACTCTTTCCTCACCCGCAGCACGCGTGTGTAGCACTCCTTTTAATAGTCGGAGGGAGTCTTGAAGTAAACAGTGCGCGTGATGTCTGTTGTGCCATGTTATTCGACTAGAAACACACCTAACTTACCACCTGACAGCACTCCTCCTCACCTCACAGCACCCCTCACCTGCAGCACGCGTGTGTGTGTAGCACTCCTTCTCATAGTCGGAGGGCGTCCCGAAGTGAACAGTGCGCGTGATGTCTGTTGTGCCGTCCACATACTGTGCTCCGCTGTCCAGCAGAAGCATCCTGGAAGGATCCACCACCGCACAGTTGTCCTCCTCGGCTCGGTAGTGAATGATCGTCCCGTTCTTGCCCGAACCTGCACGCCAGGCTCGGAAAAAATGAACGAGAGGGATCTCATAGGCTTGTCAGAGCATCTGCGTCGCATGAAATGCTTGGAACCAGCATTGCTATGAGCACAGCAACACCGCGACAGAAAGGCTGCGCGACGCAAAGGGGGCACCCCTTTAGTGCCCTTTCTGTGCCCCAAAGGGCACTATCCAACTGACACCCCACCCCACCTGCAATGGTATCAAAGCTGGTATCGAGGAACCCCTCCTGCTGTGCGCGGAACGCCTCGAGCCTCTCCCCCAGCTCCACCTCTGTCACCGCCCTCCCCTCCTCCACCACCGCCCTCTCCGCCCACTCCCAGAAATGCGCCATTGCCACCGCATCCCTGGGGGAACGGTTGCAGAGGAAGGGATACAGTTGAAAAGGGAGAATGGGAGAAACGAAAGCGGAACGACCGATTTGAAAATGGTCTTTAGGGGCCCAGCATCCGCTCCACCCACAGTTGGTCTTTAGGGGCCCAGCATCCGCTCCACCCACAGTTGGTCTTTAGGGGCCCAGCATCCGCTCCACCCACAGTTGGTCTTTAGGGGCCCAGCATCCGCTCCACCCACAGTTGGTCTTTAGGGGCCCAGCATCCGCTCCACCCACAGTTGGTCTTTAGGGGCCCAGCATCCGCTCCACCCACAGTTGGTCTTTAGGGGCCCAGCATCCGCTCCACCCACAGTTGGTCTTTAGGGGCCCAGCATCCGCTCCACCCACAGTTGGTCTTTAGGGGCCCAGCATCCGCTCCACCCACAGTTGGTCTTTAGGGGCCCAGCATCCGCTCCACCCACAGTTGGTCTTTAGGGGCCCAGCATCCGCTCCACCCACAGTTGGTCTTAAGGGGCCCAGCATCCGCTCCACCCACAGTTGGTCTTTAGGGGCCCAGCATCCGCTCCACCCACAGTTGGTCTTTAGGGGCACAGCATCCGCTCCACCCACAGTTGGTCTTTAGGGGCCCAGCATCCGCTCCACCCACAGTTGGTCTTTAGGGGCCCAGCATCCGCTCCACCCACAGTTGGTCTTTAGGGGCCCAGCATCCGCTCCACCCACAGTTGGTCTTTAGGGGCCCAGCATCCGCTCCACCCACAGTTGGTCTTTAGGGGCCCAGCATCCGCTCCACCCACAGTTGGTCTTTAGGGGCCCAGCATCCGCTCCACCCACAGTTGGTCTTTAGGGGCCCAGCATCCGCTCCACCCACAGTTGGTCTTTAGGGGCCCAGCATCCGCTCCACCCACAGTTGGTCTTTAGGGGCCCAGCATCCGCTCCACCCACAGTTGGTCTTTAGGGGCCCAGCATCCGCTCCACCCACAGTTGGTCTTAAGGGGCCCAGCATCCGCTCCACCCACAGTTGGTCTTTAGGGGCCCAGCATCCGCTCCACCCACAGTTGGTCTTTAGGGGCACAGCATCCGCTCCACCCACAGTTGGTCTTTAGGGGCCCAGCATCCGCTCCACCCACAGTTGGTCTTTAGGGGCCCAGCATCCGCTCCACCCACAGTTGGTCTTTAGGGGCCCAGCATCCGCTCCACCCACAGTTGGTCTTTAGGGGCCCAGCATCCGCTCCACCCACAGTTGGTCTTTAGGGGCCCAGCATCCGCTCCACCCACAGTTGGTCTTTAGGGGCCCAGCATCCGCTCCACCCACAGTTGGTCTTTAGGGGCCCAGCATCCGCTCCACCCACAGTTGGTCTTTAGGGGCCCAGCATCCGCTCCACCCACAGTTGGTCTTTAGGGGCCCAGCATCCGCTCCACCCACAGTTGGTCTTTAGGGGCCCAGCATCCGCTCCACCCACAGTTGGTCTTTAGGGGCCCAGCATCCGCTCCACCCACAGTTGGTCTTTAGGGGCCCAGCATCCGCTCCACCCACAGTTGGTCTTTAGGGGCCCAGCATCCGCTCCACCCACAGTTGGTCTTTAGGGGCCCAGCATCCGCTCCACCCACAGTTGGTCTTTAGGGGCCCAGCATCCGCTCCACCCACAGTTGGTCTTTAGGGGCCCAGCATCCGCTCCACCCACAGTTGGTCTTTAGGGGCCCAGCATCCGCTCCACCCACAGTTGGTCTTTAGGGGCCCAGCATCCGCTCCACCCACAGTTGGTCTTTAGGGGCCCAGCATCCGCTCCACCCACAGTTGGTCTTTAGGGGCCCAGCATCCGCTCCACCCACAGTTGGTCTTTAGGGGCCCAGCATCCGCTCCACCCACAGTTGGTCTTTAGGGGCCCAGCATCCGCTCCACCCACAGTTGGTCTTTAGGGGCCCAGCATCCGCTCCACCCACTCCCAGAAACATGCCATTGCCACCGCGTCCCCAGGGGAACAGGTGCAGAGGAAGGGATACCGTTGAAAAGGGAAAAATGGAGAACGGAAGCGTGAACCAGGCATCACGGCAACACGGGATGCTTGGTGCCCGTGAACCAGGCATCACGGCAACACGGGATGCTTGGTGCCCGTGAACCAGGCATCACGGCAACACTCTCCGAACCTTCTCTCCCCCCTTGTGCCTGCATCCCCTTCTTCCCCAACTCTCATCCTCTCGCCCAGGCTTGCACTGGGGTGGTCACACGCAGCACTACCGAACCCTTCCAGTGCTGGCCCTTCATCCTTTCGATCTCAGATTGGCGTGGTTAGGCTCAGCACTTGAGGGCCTTCAGGGCCTTCATTCATTCGCTCCCCTCCTCCAATGCCTTCCGGTTTTTAAGTTTCACTCATCTGATATGGGCGTTCTTCATCCCCTCAATCTCCGATTCATTCTTCAGCGCTTTGGCCGGAGAGATAGGCGTGGTGCGACTCAGCACTGCCGGCCCTTCCACTGCCACCACTGCCCCCCTATCCACCCCCTTCCCTTCTTTGAGTCAAGTAGAAGACCCCACTCACCTGATAAGAGTAAATGCTTGAGACGTCTCAAAAACTCTATCCAACCCCTCCCCTTTTTCGAGTCAAGTAGAAGACCCCACTCACCTAATGTGCGCGTTCTTCATCCCCTCAATCTCAGACTCGTTCTTCAGCGCCTTGGCCAGAGAGATGGGGGTGGTTCGGCTGAGCACTGCCGGCCCTTCCACTTCCTCCCCGCCTGCTCCCCCTCGCTCCTCCTTCCCCTTCCCTCCCTTCCCCTCCTTGCTCTTTTTCTCCCCCTTCTCGCCCTTCTTCCCCTTCTTTCCCCCAAACCCTCCCTTCCCTGACGCTCTCTGTTCGTAGTACTGAGCGCAGGCGGCTTCAACAGAGCAGAGGACCGCAGAGGAGGCGGAGGAAGGGTCCAGCCACAGGCGAGCCCCGTGTGGCAGGGAGGCCGTTTGTGCTGTCGGTGTCGTGGGTGGTGGGGGAGGTGGGCGAGGGGGGTGTGGGTGCAGGGGAGGTGAAGCGGATCACTGCCTCTTGGGGGGCTGATGGAGGCTTTGAGAAAGTGGAAGGCGAGTGGTACAGGAGACAGGCGTAAAGCAGCAGCGGCAGCAGCAGCAGCGGCGGCGGCTGGGTTTATGCGCCTTGCCACGAGGGCTGATGGGGGCTTTGACCTCATGTGATGAGTCGATTTAGCTTGGGTGTGATGAGTCGACTCAAAAATCGACTCGTCACACCCAAGCTAAACCAGTACAACTCTCACCACACTCAAGACTCAAAACGCACCACGTTGAGCAGCCATGAGACCTCATCCAGAGCCAACGCCAGCAGCACCGTGGCGCCAGCGTCTCTCATCTCCGCCTGCAGCTGCTGCAGCCATACGTCATATAGACCAGTGCAGCACTCACCACGTACTCAGGATTCACCACATCGCCCGTTCCGAGGACTCAAGAATCAAGACTCAGTCACTCACCACGTTGAGCAGCCATGCGACTTCATCCAGAGCCGACACCAGCAGCGCCGTGTCACCGGCGTCTCTCATCTCCGCCCGCAGCTGCTGCAGCTTCGCCCTCACCGTCTGCCCCGCGAACTCGATCGGGTGCACCCTCATGGGCGCTGATGGGGGCGGGGGGCGCTGATGGGAAGCACAGGGGGGGCGAAAGGGAGTACAGACGTCTGAAAAAGCAGGGTTGCTTCTGCTGTGCGCAGCAGTGATATCAATTGACCCCGTACCCCCCCCCACACCACCTTCCCCTGGCTTTCCCACCCAGCACATACGCACCTCCGCCCCCCACACGACGTCAACAGGGTCGCTCTAGCGCAGCAGCGGGATGATCGACCCCTCACACTCCCCCCGCCCCCCCCCAGCACACCCACCTCTGCGGCCCCCACTGGCCCTCCCCCTCTACCCACTGACCTCCGCGCCCCAAACCACGTCAACGGGGTTGCTCTCGCGCAGCAGCGGCACCACCACGGACGACGACGCTGCCAGCGTGTCCGCCAGGCCCCTCACGTTTTCAGCCGAATGCACAAACTGAAGGCGAAAGAGGGAGGGGGGAGGGAAAGAAGAGGGGGAAGGATGAACACATACGCACGCTGCAAGCGTGTCCGCCAGGCCCCTCACTTTGTCTGCCGAGTGCACAAACTGGGGGCGGCGGGATGGTGGAGGGTGAAGTGAGAGAAAGGGGGGGAGGGATACTAGACTCAAATGCTGTTAGAGTGTCTGCTAAACCCCTCACATTCTCGGCTTGCGCCAGCCACTCCGCCACAGGACGCGTTCCGGGCATCGCCCCATCGCTACCGACTCTATCTCCATCTGTGCCACCTCTCTTCCCCCGCCCTATATTCGAGTGACTTTGGAGAATTCTCAAAAGCCACAGGACGCGTTCCAGGCATCGCCCCATCGCCCCATCGCTACCGAATCTATCTCCATCTGTGCCACATCTCTTCCCCCGCCCCCCTTATTCAGCCTCCCCTCGCTCCACACTCTGCTGCCCGGGCGCACAGCTTCTGCCAGCCAGCCCGCGGCATAGGGCACGCAAGCCACCCCCCCTTTATCAGTACCGACTCTAACCCCCGTCATTGCCATTGCCACCCCCCTTTCCCCAAGCCCTTCCCCCTGTGAATACCGGATCAACGCCCGCTCTGCTGTCCGTGGGGAGCGCTTCCGCCAGCCTCCTACCCCAAGCCACCGCCCCCTATTTCCCATCCTCCATGTTGTTTACCGGGTCCACCCCCACTCGCCCCTTTTTCCCATCCTCCATTCCACTTACCGGGTCCACCCCCACTCGGCTGCCCGCGGGGAGAGCTTCCGCCAGCCAGTCCGCGACGGAGGGCACGCCGGGCATGCCCGCGCGCATGAGGTCCCAGCCCGGCGGAAGCTGCTGCTCCGCCTGCAGGAAGTAGCGCCCGTCCGTCCACAGCAGCGCGCGCTCGCGCGTGACCACCGCCGTGCCCGCGGAGCCCGTGAAGCCCGAGATGAACGCGCGGCGCTCGAAGCACGGCGCCATGTACTCGCTCTGGTAAGCAGGGGGGGGAGGAGGGGGGAGGTAAGAAAGAATGTGACAGTACCGCTCTCTGGTTACCACCGCCGCGCCTGGTGATGGCGCTGGTGTAGATGGCACAAGGCCATAACAAAAGGGCCGAGAGTAGCATGCTTATATCGAGCAACGAGGCGAATTCTGTTCGGAGCCTAGAATGCGCAGGTTACGGGAAAGTAACCTGGTGCGGGTCTTCCGACGGGATGATAAAGGCGTCGACGCCCTTCCCCCCATCCACTTCCGCCATTACTTCCCGCAACCGGCGCAAGCGTTTCTCCAGCTCCTTCCCCCGCTTCTGCGCCTTCTTCCCCGCATCCTCCGCCTTCTTCCCTGCATCCTCCGCCTTCTTCTCCGTATCCCCCGCCGCCGTATTCTCAGCTACATTCTCCCCGTCTGCAGCTGTTTTTGCGTCGGCGGAAGGAGAAGAGCGTTCGGCGGAAACTTCCTCAGCGCCGATTTTCCGTGCGCGCGCAGAGCAGGTGAGGAATCGACGGCGAGATTCGCTACCGGAAAACGCGGCGGGTGAAGCGGCGAAAGAGACGGACGGAGTTCTGGTTAGCCTTCCGGAGCGACGTCCATTTGGAATAGAAAAGGCACCGGAGGATGGACTACTGCGTGTGCTGGAGGCCACGCCGATAAATGTTCTAGAAACATGCGACGATACCAAGTGCATGGCAAAATCGTGAAGAGCGGTGGAGGGGAGAAGCGGGGTGGACTGGCCGAGAGCTAGGGTGAGGGAAGAAGCTGGAATGGCGGTGTGGCTTAACATTGTGGAAGAGGCGATGCGGAGAATTGACGGACGCGCGACCACGACGAATGGCGTGGATGCTGATGCTGACGCTGACACTGCAGCGGCTACGGCTACTCGCAGCATGCGAGTACCAGATCATGTCGATGCCCAACTTCTGGCCTACTCCCAAGTACACCAGCAATTCATGTCGACAGAGCAGCACGAGTTTGATTCGTAATATTTCACTACTTTACCAGGTCAGTTGGAACGACGCTGAATTCATTGATCCCAGTCGCAACTTCGCGTTCTCAGCGCGAAACCAAAAGCCAGTTAGGCCAGCAATAGCAGCAAGGACGAAAAAGATGCCCGTTAGCGGAGGTAGCCTCGGGTAGTTATAGAGCTTCCAGACCAGGGTGATGAACGGAAGGTAATGAAATATATCGAACGAATCGTACATATTTGGAAAATAAACCTACTATACAATACATTAGCAGCCCACCAATTCACAGCCCACCGAATCGCAGCCCACCAAGGGAACGACGGAGTACGTCCGTTACCATCACATACGAACTAGCGAAAGATCGCGAATTTAGTTGAGAGGCTCCATGGGGAAGTTCTCGACGGGGCTTAACTGCTTGGCGCGGTGGTACTCGGTGTACGCGCAGTCCACGGATAGCACGGAGCTCGACTCGTACATACGGGGAGTGCCGTCCAGGAACCCAGCACCCTCGGTGCTTTCTGCTGAGATCGGACGGTGCAGGGTCGCGATCATCTTCTGGAAGTCGGCGGCGCGCGCAGCGTGGTCGGGGCGGTACGTCTGGCCGAGCACGCCGTGCACGTCGTCGGTGTGCTCCATCTCAACGATCCCGACATTAATGTGCGCCTCGGCCTCGGTGGGCGTCTGCAGCTTGGGGTTGGCGACACGCAGACGCAGGTCGAGCGTCACAAGCCCGTCGATGACGAGCGTGTAGTAGTCCACGTCATACGGGCCCTCCTTCTCCAGAGCCGCGAATCGCAGAGTCAGACCGCCCTCGGTAGTCACCTCGTCACCCACGCTCATCCTCGGCATCTCCTCGCCGTCGATCTCGATCGTCTTCATGAACCCATCACCGCGCTCCTGCTTCTTGCCAGAGCGCGCCGCGAGCCGCACCTTGTGGTCGGCGCCGTTGGCGAACCACACGATGCCCAGCTCCTTGATCCACGTGTGCACGGCCTTGCCGTCCACAACGAGAGCCGCATTCTCCGTGTCGTCCGAGTAGTACCCGCGCAGCAGCATGTTCACGTGCAGGTCCTTGTCCGTCAGCAGGCAGAACGCCTTGTCGGGGCGCCCGTTGAAGTCGAAGTGCGTGCCGTACGCGCCCACCAGATGCGGGTCGTCCTTGATGTGTCCCGCGGGGTTGCACTCGCCGCCCGTGCGCACCTGCAGATGAACCGGCTTCGAGTCCGTCGCGTACTGCGCCGTCAGCTCGCCGCACGAGTAGTCGATGTTGTCGTGCACCAGGTAGCACGCGCCCTCCGTCTTCTTGCCGTCGATCGTGATGTCGGGGATGTACTGCCAGTACGTGCAGCCAGCGTATCCCGCGCACGTGTTGCAGCACGTCTGCGGGGACGCCTTCTTGAGCGTGAGAGGGTTGCCCTTCACGTACACCTCCACACCCAGCTTGTTCTTGAGCAGGTTCGATGTCTTCCACTTGGCGGCGATGCCGCCCTTGCTGCAGTTGGCGGGCGTGCACGCGCCGTCCCCGGGCTTGCCCAGGTCCTTGTGGCACTTCATTTTGTTCCATCCGGCCACTTTCACGTCCACCATCAGCACACTGTCCGTGCTCGGGCTCACGATGGTCATGCCCTCAAACTTGTCAAGCCCGCCGGCGGCCGCCGCCTTCTCGATGCCAGGAGGGACCTCCGTAGCCACGCCATTCGCGCCCTTGGCATTGTCCAGGTTGACCGCGGGGTTGCTGGGTCCCGTCACGACGGATTGTCCTGCGGACGCCACCGCCAGCAGGACGGCGAACGACACGACGAACAGTAGGCGCGCCATTATGATAACTTCGTCTAAGAATCAAACTCGCGAGCAACTTTCGCAGGTTAATTTAGACGTTTAATCAGAAGATAAATACAGAGCCGCTCCTCTCCTTGACCAAGGTTATTGGTTGAAAGAATGGGAGCACTCCTATTTGTGCCTCGCGGATGCGGTCGGTTGGCTCGGCCGTTGAACTCCAGGTTTCCGAAGTTGGAAGATTGTTGCGAGTCGTGCCGCAGGGAGGTTGAAACCAGGTTTGGCTCAGGAGAGACTTTTCTGACAGTTCATTCAATCTGAATGGAACAAGCGCTCCGGCTTCCCCAGATTTGAGCTGGTTCAGGATGTATCAGGTCACTTTCCGCACCTGCCTCTGTGGGCTACGAAGCGCAGGGGCCTTTCCTGCCAGGATGGTTCACCAGCGCACAGTTCTCACCTGAACCAGGTAGTACACTGCAGGTGCTTCTCGAGGCAGGTGGCGTTATTTCTTAATGCGTGTGACCCCTTTACAAACAACTTCTCAGTCCCAGAAGGTTTGCACAAATCAGGGAGGATAAATACCTTGCTTGTTACTTAAAACCCGCAGGCCAAGATATTCAACCTTAGGAAGGTTGGTTGGGAGTTGCTAGACGAGTTGTTATAAACTCGGGAAAATCACAGGCGTTTTTGGGACATCCAACCAACACTAGGAAGGATGAACCAAATTTGGCCTTCTTGACCCACGGGTTTTAAGAGGCAATATGCAACCAGACAGAATAAATGCGAAACGATAATGATGGTTATAGAGAACCTGTTCAGGAGAGATAAAGACAATGTTCAGACGTTAATGTTACTGGTTTTATTGTGCTACGATAAATGCCTTTGACATTTCGAAGTTGTGAAGGGATTGTTTTGGCTGTGAAATAAGATAACTAGACAACCATCCATGTTACCTAAAAACACTGGATACTAAAGGAGACACTTACACATGACACATTCCGCGAACACGCATTTCCCCCTTCCTGCGACCCTGAATTCGGCTGATGAGAGATTTGACGGGGAGAATGAACGCGGGTTTTCCTCGATTTCCGCACGGAGCACCACCGTAAGCTATCCTTCCTTCTGCATCTGTATTGCCTTGCCTTGCGGTGCCTTGCACCACTGTCAAGTAGGGCTTTCACTTTCTGACCGCGAATCAGCATAGAAAGGAGAAGGGGTTCAGAGGGGTTACGGCTTTCAAGAGAAGAGATAGTGGGGCAGGTATAGTCACCAGAAAGTTGCCCCGAGTTTACTGGCGGCTTGAGTTTCCCGGTGTTGGAAGTATCGGGGGCAGATTGGTACGTTGGCGGCAGACCTTCCAGATGTGTCCTTTCTTGCCGCACTTGTAGCACACGACGATAGGCCTCGGGTTCCTCTTCCTCTTCTCCATCAGGTCCAGGTCCATAGGTGCAGGTTCTTGCAGATTTGAGTCCGTTGGAGTAGAGGGCTGGTAGGAGGGAGCAAACAGGAGAAACGGGCTACGAGGAAAGCGAGGCTTGTTGTATGCATAATGGACAGCATCATACCGTTCAGCCACGCGTATCATTTCCTCGAGCGTAGAGCAGTCCCTCAGCTCGACCTCCATGCGCACGTTCGTTTTCAGCCCGCGCTTGAAGCGATCCATCCGTTCAGCATCGGAAAGGTCCGGGATCTCTTGAGCGATGTCACGGAAGCGAGAAGCGTATTCTTGAACAGATTTGAGCTGCTTCAGAGTAGCCAAGGAGTCTCGTGCTCGGATGTTCGGGTTCACCGGTTGAAAGGTAGCAGTGAAGACTTGCTTGAATTGATCCCATGACTGGATGGTCGCATGCACGGATTGCCACCAGGTGATAGCAGATCCACGAAGAAGGGTGCCAGTGAAAGCAGTCCACTCGGCAGGAACTATGTGACTTAGGAGCAGGTATTGCTCAACAAGAAAGAGCCAACGGCTCACGACTGGTTGGTTTCTCCCGCGAAAGAAAAAATCAGGAAGAGCGGGTCTAGCGCGCTGATTTCCGTCTGGCGGTGCAGCAGGGCTCGAGGTTGCTGCCGCCACTCCAGCTGCAGCTACACTAGCTTGCATCTCAGCTTGCAAGCTCTCTCTAACTTCAGCAACAAGTTGGGCTCGGTACGTTTCCAAGTAGCTGGCCCATTCATCACGAGAAGGTACCTTACTAGTCGTCATGACGCTGTTTTCAAGAAAAGGAGGATCGAAGATAGCTCGGATACCAAATGAAACAGCCACTAAGCTGATTTGGCAGAGTAGTAGTAGTAGGTAGGAGAATTCCAGAAAGATAGTAGCAAGATAGCTTTACAAGAGATCATATGATGGCTTACATTTCAGAGGTACATCCTATTATACTAGGATACTTGTTATAGTCACAATAGGCTTGAATGTGCCTAAAACGAAAGATAGAGAGCACAGACGGATTTCTGCACAGCGGCTTCAAACGTTGATAGCGTTCTGCTCACAGCTGCAAATGACTTGATTCAAATTGGATCTGGAGCGTCTTCACGTCGTCTACAATTAGCAATTTAGATTGCACAATTGGATAAAGAATTGACGACACAGCGTCGGTTTGAACGAACGGTACTATGGCAGCCACTATAGTCTTAGAACACAAGATAGGAAGAGTTACGAGTTGGGAATGACTCCCAGCTCCTACAAACCCCAAGAGCCGAGGTACAGTGATGTGGAACAGTGCCACACTGTCCCCAACCACGAAGGGTCTCGAAACTACCCTTCACTAGGGCCTACACCAAGTGAAATGTTACACTACACAAAGTAATGTAACTATCTTCAATATCTTGAGGTGTACCCTTTTGGCAAGCTTCGAAATCACTTGAGGCTTGACACCAAGGCTCGGGCTCTTCATCACAAACTCATCCTTGAGTTCTTGATGGGTCTGCTGCACACACCTGCGACACGCCGAACGTTCGACACAGGACAAAATAGAAACCGCGCACGACAAAATAGAAACCGCGCGCGAGACACAAACGACCGCGTAACACGCGTCTAGCGATAACTCGCTATTGACTCGACACACACACTCGACATCATGACTCAACATTCACACACAATTATGTCAGAACATCATAGCTCATGCATATTGTGTAGGCTATAGTGGGGTAGCCCATAAGGGGTACAACCCAATTAGGGTTAGTACTTGTACCCAACTCATTCATAGTTTATTCATTCCTTGTTTCTTCTCATGGTATCGAGCAGGTTCCCTAGTGGGAACGCTTCCTAGGGCCCACCACGAATTTTTTTTTTCCTGCCTGGAGCGCGCTTCGCTCCCACAGTCGCGCCCTCTCACGACCCCTCACGGCCCCTCGTGTCGCCCTTAGCGGCCCCTTACGGCCCCTCGCGCCGTCCCTTACGGCCCCTAGCGCGGCCCCTTACGGCCCCTTACGGCCCCTAGCGCGGCCCGTTGGCCCCTTACGGCCCCTTGCGGCCCCTCGCGCGGCTCCTTCCGGCCCCTTACGGCCCCTTACGGCCCCTCGCGCGGCCCCTTACGGCCCCTTACGGCCCCTTACGGCCCCTCGCGCGGCCCCTTACGGCCCCTTACGGCCCCTCGCGCCGCCCGTCGGCCCCTCGCACCGCCCTCAACGGCCCCTTACGGCCCCCTACGGCCCGTCGCCGCCCTCCGCGGCCCCTCGCGCCGCCCCTTCACGGCCCGTCGCCGCCCTCCGCGGCCCCTCGCACCGCCCCTTCACGGCCCGTCGCCGCCCTCCGCGGCTCCTCGCGACGCGGCCCCTCGCACCGCCCTCTCCGGCCCACTGTCGCCGCCCCTACCGCAGCGGCCGCCGCCGTCCCTGCCGCAGCAGCCGCAGCCGTCGCCAGCAGCAGCCGCCACCACCTCCCTCGGGGCAGCGGCTGCTGCCGCAGCTGACTGCACCCGCCGACGCCGCTCCACTCGGCCCCGCCGCCGCTCCCCACGCGGCCTCGCCGCGCCACCTGAGCCGCCCGGGCCTGCCGAGCCGCCGTACCGCCCGAGCCGCCGTACCGCCCGAGCCGCCCGAGCCGCCGTGTCGCCGAGCCGCGCTTGCTGCCGAGCCGCTGTACCGCCGAGCCGCCCGAGCCGCCCGAGCCGCCGAGTTGCCGAGCCGCCGAGCAGCTGAGCCACCCGAGTCGCCCTGTCCGGTAAGTGCAGCGCCTCTGTCCCTGCACTGCCCTCACCCTACTGTTAGCGCTGCTAGTCTACTGCTGTCATGGCTACCCCTAGTGTCCTCGCCTTTGACGCTGAGGGTAGGGCCATTGACTTTGACGTCTGGGTAGATGACCTGCAGCTTTTCCTACAGTGCGATAGGGCAGACGGTCTCTCCCTCTTTGACCTCACCTCTGGTGCCTCTCCTGCCCCTGCTGCTGATGCCGACGCCACTGTTCGCTCCCAGTGGGCCACTCGCGATGCTGCTGCACGTCTTGCTGTGCGTCGCCACCTGCCTACCTCTGAGCGTGCGCACTTTAGCCAGTACAAGAGTGCTCAGACCTTGTACGACGCTGTAGTTGCGCGCTACTCCTCCCCTGCCACTGCTGCACTGAGCCGCCTCATGCTACCGTACCTCTTCCCTGACCTTGCTGCCTTTCCCACAGTCGCTGACCTCATTACGCACCTCCGCACTAGTGACACTCGCTACCGCGCTGCGCTTCCTGCTGAGTTCTGCGCCAAGAACCCCCCCCCCATGTACATCACCCTCTACTACATAGTCACCCGGCTCCCTGACTCCCTTCGCGTAGTCAGGGACCACTTCCTCTCCGTTTGCCCCACCACTCTCACCGTTGACCTCCTCGAGAAGTCCCTCCTAGCAGCAGAGAAGAGCATAGTCGCTGTAGGAGCCTCTCGTGGTGACCCTCGCACCCCCATCTTTGAGGGGTGTTCCCCCTCCCCCCTTTTGCCCTCTGTTGCCTCTGCTGCTGCGGCCGACCTCGTTGGGCTTGAGTCGGTCGGTGCGGCGTCTACCCCTAGCGGGAGACGTCGCCCTGGCAAGGGCAAGGGGGGCAGGGGCACTGGAGGAGCTAGCGG